AGCAAGGAGGGGAGGAGGAGAGAAAGCAGGAAGGCTAGGAAAGAAGGCGAGAGCGAGGGAAGGGGGAGAGGTCTTCCTGAACCAGTCCCTGTCATCGGCCATATTGGCACCCCCTCTCACGCATCATTCTTATCATAATCCTCTTGGATAAACCCCCCTCACCATCACCAACATCAACATCCTCACCATCGCTATCATCATCACATCATCATCATCATCATCATCATCATCATCATCAGCAGCAGCAGCAGCAGCAGCATCATCAGCATCAGCAGCATCATCATCATCATCATCATCATCATCAGCAGCATCAGCAGCAGCAGGAGCAGCAACCTCATCATCATCATCATATCAGCAGCAGCATCATCAGAATAATAATCCTCATCATCATCATCAGTAGCAACAGCATCATCATCGTCATCACCACCACCACCACCATCATCAGTATCATCAACCACATCATCATCATCATCATCACCACCACCACCACCATCATCATCATCATCATCATCATCATTAGCAGCAGCATCATCCTTGTCATTAGTATCATCATCAGCAGTATCATCATAATCAGCAGTAGCATCAGCACTATCATCATCAGCAGCAGTATCGTCGGCATCATCATTATTATTATCATCATCATCAGCAGCAGCATCATCCTCACCACCATCATCATTATCATCATCACCATCGTCGTCGTCGTCGTCGTCGTCATCATCGGCATCATCATCATCATCATCATCATCATCATCATCATCATCATCATCATCATGAGCAGCATCAACAGCATCGTCATCATCATCAGCAACACCATCATCAGCATCAGCATCATAAACAGTAGCATCATCATCAGAATCAGCATCAGCATCATCAGCACTGTCACCGTCACCGTCGTCTGAATCGCAATCACGATCATCACCTCAATCATTACCACCATCATCACCACCAGCACCATCAACATCACCATCACCATCACCATCACCATCACATCCCTCCTCCTCGTCTTCCTCCTCGTCCTACTCTGTCCAACTTCACCTCCGCCCCCCCTCACCCCGTCACCCCCTCACGATTCCCCCTCCCGATCCCCCTTCCCCTCTCCTCCTCCTCCTCCTCCTCCTCCTCTCCTCCTCCCTCCTCCTCCTCCTCCTCCTCCTCCTCCTCCTCCTCCTCCTCCTCCTCTCCTCCTCCTCCTCCTCCTCCTCCTCCTCCTCCTCCTCCTCCTCCTCCTCCTCCTCCTCCTCCTCCCTCCTCCTCCTCCTCCTCCTCCTCCTCCTCCTCCTCCTCCTCCTCCTCTCCTCCTCCTCCTCCTCCTCCTCCTCCTACCCTCCTACTCCTACCTACTCCTACTACTACTACTACTACTACTACTACTACTACTACTACTACTACTACTACTACTACTACTACTACTACTACTACTACGCTACTACTACTACTCGTACCACCTCTCCCTCTTCTTCCTCCTCCTCCTCCTCCTCCTCCTCCTCCTCCTCCTCCTCCTCCTCCTCCTCCTCCGCCACCGTGGAACGTCGCGTTCACTAAGTGCGGCACTCCCCTCGTCTTGAAGAATGGCAGGAGCAGGAACCCCCGTCTTGAAGAGGAGGAGGAGGAGGAGGAGGAGGAGGAGGAGGAGGCGTGGGGGCGCGGCGCGCACAGGGCTGACCCTTCCAGGCCGCAGGACCTGCCCTCCAGGAAGGGGAGGGTGGAACCGCCCCTGCTCTGGAGAGCCTGGCGTTCTCCTGCATCGCTCTCGTGTAGGAAACTTTCTGGCGTGCGCTTCGCGCACTCGAGCCGCGTGTCTCAAAGAACCCCCTACTTCCACGGGGCCGGGCCGTAGTCATGGCGGTGGTCCTGGTCGCGCTCGTCGTCCTCATGGTTCGCGTCTTCGCGTCCTTCGCGTCCTTCGCAATGATCGTCGTGCTGGCGCACGCGGGGGGCCCTGCCCTGCCCTCGCGGGGCGGCGCCTCGCCCGAGGTCGCCCACGGGGGGGGAGGGCTGTCCCGCGGGAGCCTCGGAGATCCTTGTCCGCGCGCGGGGGGGGGGGACCAGGAATCAAACAACACCACGCCACCTACGGCCCCACGGGCTTACCATCAGATCTGGTTTGGGCCTCTGCGTGGTATACGCCACGACCCCCGATGGGTTTTAGCACAACATGGAGGGCCGCAGGTGGGGTAGTGACGTTTGGTCTTTGGTCGAGGGAGGGCGGCACTGGCCGGGAGAGCGCCCCGTGGGTGCTGGCGCGAGGCTGCGCGCGCAGGAGAGCGGGCGAGCGCGCGTGTTCCGTTCGCCCTCCTTGTTGCAGAGGTTCTTTGGACGGCTCTTGGGGGCCTCACGAAGGCTCCTTGGGATCTCACGGGCCTCTGAAGCCTTCTGGGCCCGTTTGGGAGGCCGCTGCTTGGCACACCCGAAATGAAAACGGAAAAATGGGCACGACGCCCAGCAGCAAGTGTGGTCCGAAACCGACAACGGCGCCGTTGCGCAGGCAACGACCGTGCCGACCTGCTGGCCCGATGATTTTACAAACTCGCGGCGAAAAAGGGCGCTTTAAGGGGGGGGGGACGGGGGGGGCATAACGTAACGCCCCCCCCCGTGTCGTGTGGGCCCAGCACCACGGACTGTGATACTGGGCGCACTGCGACAGTGCCAGGGTCGCACTGGGAGAGGGGGAGCGTCACGTAACGGGGGGGCGGAGGGGGGGGACGGGAGGGGGGAAGGGGGGGAGCGTCACGCGCTGTATGGCCCAGAGGGTAAACAGAAACACTCCCCATGGAGTGTTTTGAGCCAACGGCCGCAGGAGAATCAGACGGCGGACGAGCAGCGGTGGGGCGCGCCGGGGCACAGCAGGGCCCACTCTTCGATGGAGCACGGTACAGCACAGCAGACGCCTGCCCGCCTGCGGGACGGCGCGCGCCGAGCCCGGCGCCGCCTGTCAGGCGCGCGAGACCGCCGCCGACTCGGGAGCCGCTCCGCCTACGGCCCTCGATCCTCGACCCTCAAATCTTCGATCCTCGATCCTCGACGACGACGACGACGCCGACGACGACGACGACGACGACGACGACGACGACGACGACGACGACGGCGACGGCGGCGACGGCGGCGGCGGCGGCGACGACGACGACGACGACGATGACGATCTGCTGCCCCAGAGGCGTCAGCGGCCGCCCTACTGGCCTGGGCGGCCGGCGGCCCGAGCGCGCCCCGCGCCCCAGGACCGAATAACCCCGAGGCAAGCCAAGGACAGGACTTGGCGGCAGACGCGGGAGCCTGGTCTGGCAAGTGCGGGGCCGGCGTCCCACCGCGTTCCGTCCGCCTCACTCCTCATCCTTTCTCCCCTTCCTCCCTCTACCCCTGACGGTGCCACACACACACACATACACTCTCTGGGCAAGGTGACGGCACCATCACGAGTGATAGGAATGAGCGCTCTACTATCATGTCAACTTGCACCCAACATTGTGGATAGGGGCAATAGGGAGCTCGCGAACAGGCGCGCACGTATAGAATTACACCGACCACTGTGGATGAATGGCACGCGTTTGGCCAGCATGCTGTAGCGCGGGAAGACTGCTTTGAGCCAGGCTGCGGAAGAGACGCAACCACATGGTAAGGCTTCGGGCTGCGCACAGACAGCCCACCCGTCCCACGTGTATGATCCCGGCTGGCCCCAACAGGCCCCCCGGACTAGACCCAGCTGGCCCAAAAGGCCCCCCGAATAGTCCTGTGCGGTCTCAACACCCCGACCCTGGGGCGCGGAGCGGCGCCGCCAGTTGAGACTGCCCCGGACTACTCGGGAGGCCTGCTGAGGCCAGCTGGAAATTCGGGGATGGACAGAACCCCCTTTAGCAAAACGTGGTTTAGTGAAAACGACCACGGGCCCAAATCTGGCGGGCGAAAGCCTGGAAAATAACGGCCACGGCGCCCTCTCGAGAACCGAAAACGGACAATTCACTAATCGACGTGTCACTATTGGGGGTTCTGTCCAGCCCCGAGAAATACCTGGAATGCCTGTTGAGGACAGCTGGGCTTACCTGGGGGGCTGCGTGGGCGCAACCGGAAGCCCTAAAACACCCACACTTCGTCGACGTCGAAGGGCCCCTCCAGGTTGGAGGCCGCCGGGGGATCTGAACTGGTCGGGACCCCAGGGAATCGGTCAGCAGGGGGGGGGGGGTTGAAGCCGTATCCGCTCAAAATCGGTCCCTGGACCGAATTCCTGGATCCGTGTTTCACTGTCCCGGGGCCCGAAAACGGCTCCCTGAGGCCAAAAACAACAAATAACCTTCCCGAACCCAGCGCCTCGCACCTCGCCCCCCAATCCTGCTCGCCAGAACCAGTGCTGGGCTACCCCAGACCCCCAGCCAGATCCAGCCTCCAGGACCCCTGTTCCTCGGAAGGCCGCCGGCCTTCTGAGAAGCGTTGTGAGCCTTCTCCGGGGACAGAGACGGCTCCTCGGTAGACTGGAGGGCTTCTGGGAAGCCCCGCCGACTTCTGAGAAGGCCTGCCCCTTCTCAATTATCCCCCGGGCGCGCCGCCGAGGACCCCTTTGCATGTTTCTTTCCCCAGAACCTGAATCACTGAAGCAACGGCCGCGCACAGAATGACAACAAGGCGCCCAATGCGTGGACAGCTTCGTCCAGAGCAATGGTCTCGGCAGGGGACTACAAGACAGAATCACGAGTAAAAGCTCCAGTGATCAAGACAATGCTGCGCTCTGCCAGCAGCCCCCGCCGGCACCGCTCCCACTTGGCTCGCGGCATCAGCTGCGCTTCTGACTCTTCCTAGTCCAGGCCCTCCTCTGGGAGAACCTGCAACGGATTTTTCGCCCCCGCCATCTTACCCTCGTTGTACGACTTCCTGTCGAAAAGGCAGGTCGTCTTGTCTTTGCACGGGCGTGATGGCCACGTAGCTAGACCTCCAAGCTGACGAAGACCCCCTTCCTCCATGCCGATCTACCCTCCGCCCGGGCCGCGCGGCGGGGCGGGGCGGCGGCGCGTCGC